TAAGAAAGGCAAGGGGCCCTTATGGTTCACCTGTCCCTTTAATTTTTTCCTTATGGAATCCTGGTTTTGTTGCACGATTAGCAGTTCGCGTTTGCTGCTTTTCTCTCCCGTCTAGGTTGACCTATATAGTGTTACACTATTTAATCTTTTCCCTTTGCCCCTCACCTCCGCCCTGTCTTGGCCGAAGCGCAACACTCGCAAGAGTAAAGTGAAGAAAAAAAGGCGATATAGACATAAATGTGTAAACCTTTTTTTTAACTACGAGCATTGTAAGCGTTCTCAAGACAAGGCACGCAGGGCAGCAGCGATACTAATGTGATAGTGTTCAAGCACAGCGCCCATGAATGTTTCTTAATAGACATGGTTTTCTTGCCTAGAGCATAGGACCAAGAAAGCAGCAAAATCGCTATAGTATACCTTTGTGTCCGCTGTCGAGGAAATGTGAACCCAGAGGAGGGCGGTTTTGAAGCTGTATTAGCTCACCTAAGGGAATTAGGTCACGAATGTTTCTGAACGAACTTCTCATCATTTCTGCATCAACGTAAGCGTGAATTTTACACTTAAATCATTTTTATATTTTATGGAATCAATTTTCGCTCAAACTAGTGTAAGAGTTTGGGTCGAGAAAGGCAATAATAAATCATTCTGGGCCGTCGCACTTGATAGATTTTGAACTGTGACTGCAGTCTGGGGGTTATTTAGAGTATGGCACTCGATTGACTGTTTGCCTTTTTTTAAATCAAAATATTGAATGTCAGGCGCCAATTTTAGGCAAATCATAAAATGCATTTAATGAGCTTTAACTTGAACCAGCGATTACGGCTGAACTGTGGCGACGGCCGAAAGCGGAGCGAAATTACGTAGTGTAGCAATAGATCCTCCATAAAAGTGCGCTGTTTATGGTAGCTGCCTGGTCATTCGCCCGAGTCCGCCATTTTTAGGGCACGAAATAGGGGGGGGGGGGGGGAGTGTTGGAACCAACTGCTGAATCATCGTTCATTGGGGATTCGTATCCCACCATACGGTTGGTGCTCAAGATATGACGACCGCCAAAATTACTTTTTGGACATTTGAAAAATGCCTAATAGATTGCCGGGCTATTCTCGCTTCCAATCTCTTCCTGACCACTGATACCTCCTGGTAAATGCCCCCCTTTCCCCAGACATGAAGAAGGCCTCGTCTGCTAAGTTTCGCACACAGATATGCAACCCCGAAAAAGGTTAATAAAAAAATACCAGCAGATTTCTATGCCATCGATTTTTTGCAGTGGTTTGTGATTTGTTATTGAGTAAGGTGGAAGAGGGTGTCAATACCCCGCGAAAAGTGTTGTTATATAGACAAGCTGAGTATGATAATATTTCTTCGGAAGTCTCACTATATGTTTCTTACTTTTTAGACTTGCGCGTGAAAAATGAAGTTGAGTACTTGTGCGAAATTTCCAAACAAAAAATTGTATTCTGCTCTCTGAAACTCACATACCATCCAGAATTCTTAAAGCTAATAAGAGGTATAATTGTTGATTGCATAACCTATACGAAAACAAATAAAATGTAAACGCAGAGCTTATAAAAGGTATCAAATGAGTCTGTCTGATGCATCGAAGCAAAATCTTGAAGAGTTACCTAGAAATCTTTAAAAAAATGTACAAGGAAGCAAACTTATCTTCTATGAGTCTCTTTAAGAGAAACTAGAAATTGATGCTCGGAAATTCTGAAAATTTGTGAAAACCAGCAGAAAAATTTATACTTCTAATTCTGCTTTGTTAAAAAAATCGCAATTTAATATATTGGGACATCGAAAAGGGCGGCTTTTTTAATGCTTCCTTTAAATCGGCTTTTACGCCTTCTGTTCCTAATAGTAACGTTCATGCATCTGATCACATGAACGATACAGCTATGTCGGATGTGACAATAGAGATGTATGGGATTGTGGCATTACTAAAAGACAAACACGTCAAAACCTTGTGGAACAAATGAACTTTGACGATAATATTTCTTGGAGAAGGGGAATTTCCTTCTCCGAGGAATATTACCGTCATTCTTGTGCAGCTAATTTGCACCTTTGAAATAATCGCATTATCACCATAGTATTAATTTTGGCCGATTAGTTTTCACAAATTTGGAGAACGGATTGCAGTGTATTCAGATATCATTTGGGCTAATCACTAGAAGCTTGTTTTGCCCTGAGTGACTAGAAAAGGGCAAACGGGAACCATTTCGTCGTTTACCCTGAGATTGGGTTTTTTTTTTTTTTTTGAAGAACAGAAGTAACAGAAAAACAGACAGGTCACAAACTCGGGTACAAGTTTATTTCAACAACTTCCTCTTATATAGTTCGTTCTCGTCGTCATCAACCAATCACATACGACTTGTCCTCTGCACCGTGACTTTTTTCACATACGACTTGTCCTCTGCACCGTGACTCCGATTGTTAAGTTACGTTCAAGAAACCCGGAAGAAATTTATCGCCCACTGTCCGTTACGTGTTTAAATCGCAATCAAATGCAAAGGATCACGCGAGCCGGGCAACAACGATGAAAATAATTTCTGGAGAAGGGGAAAAAGAGGGACAAAGGACAAACACAAATCTTTAAACAAAGCTAATTGACCGGTGCACGGCCGGAAAAATCTGCCTGGTCCGGGTATCGAACCCGGGACCTCTCCATTTCCAGTGGAGCCCTCTACCAACTGAGCCAACCAGGGGTTACACGTCAGTTTCTTCCTTCTCTTGTTTCTCTTGTTCCCGTTCTCCAGGGATTATTTTCGTCGTTCTTGTTCCAGTTCTTGTCCAGCTCGCTTGCAGCTTTCATGTATTTGAATTTTAATCATAACCTTATTTTGCAAGCCTTTCATTCTTGTTGGTGTTAGACTGGGGGCAGCTGATAAAACCTGTTTGCTCTACTGACGTCTAACCCCTGGTTAGCTCAGTTGGTAGAGTGGTCCCCTGAGAATGGAGAGGTCCCGGGCTCGATACCCGGACCAGGCGGATTCTTTCGGCCCCGCACCGGTCACTTAGCTGTGTTTCGATGATTCCTTTCTTCAGCCAAGCACTTATTTCACCGCGGTTAGTCGTGTGTAACACAACTGGAGGAATTCACCCATTTTGTTTCGAATGCTATTGACAACTAAGAGTTTGTAGGTTGTATATGTTTATATTTTTTTATAAATCCTTCGGCACCATGCCGCATTTTTTCTTATTATTAGAAAAACTTATATACCTAGGTATCAACCACAAAATCGTCAACTGGGCTACCGATTATTCGTCCGGTCGTGAACACAGCGTCGGACTCAAAGGCAACAAATATTCGTCAATTTTAGTAACCACAAGCGTAGCACTCAGAAGAATGCTGGGGCTCTTGTTATTTTTCATATTTTTCAGTGACATTTGTGAAGGTGTAAAATTTCATGTTAAGTTATTTGCGAACGATTTTCTAGTATTAAGAATAGTTGAACATGAAGCGGATGTTTGTGTACCTCAGGAAGATTTATAGAAACGGTAATTTGTTGTGACCGCTGGGAAATCGAGCTTAAATATCAGAAAGTGTTAATGTATGTTTCTCTTGTTGTATAGCCTACCCAACTGCATGTGAACTGAAAAGTGCTGTAGTTGAACGTGTAGATAGCTATACGTACTTGGAGCTTGATCTTCCGTCCAATTTACGGTGGAACGAAAAGTTTGAATATACTCTTGCCAAGGCTAGTGGAATAGACTTTGTTAGTAGGATTTTTAAATATACATCAAGTGGAGTGATACAGACATATTTTTCTTTTATCAGGCCGATTCTAAAATATTCGTGTGTCATCTGGGACCCGCCTCAATGTTACCTAGTACAAAAGTTTAAAAAAAGATGTCCAGAATCAGGCATTCAGGTTTGTGACAGGAGATTACAGCCCATGCACAAGTTGTACAGAAAAAAGACGAAAAAAGATTAGGTTGGGCCACTCTTAAACATCCGAAAACGTGTTTAACGTAGTAATGTTTTCACACAGTGTATCATAGACGGGCAGCTATGGAAAGAATCTGTATATCTTAGAGCCGCATTCTGTATACGCAAGATTACATGACTCGAAAAATGTGGCAGAGTTTCGTTATCAAACTGAATATATTTTTTATCATTTTTTGCTCGAAAAATTGAGAGGAATTCGCTGTCAGAAGAGCTAATCTCGGTTTCTGATGGCGTTGTGTTTTATAAGAGACTAGAAAGTTGTCTTAAAAGAGAAATATATTCGTGGTTGATTTTATTTTCGTGTGTGTGCATGAATTTTGAATATGTTCACTATGTATGCGCAATCGACGTACCCCTTTTTGTGTGTGTGCACCTTTTTGTGTGCGTGCATGCATTTTTAGTATATTCATTTTGTGAAAACAATTCATGTACCCCATGCATAATACTTAACGGCAGAGCAGGTATTTTTACAATTAAATAAAAATGATAATAGAGCTGCGGCAATGCCATAACTTATCTGTGCACTTGCGTCGCGCTGGTGACGTTACTTGCGGCGAAAACTTGTCGGTTGCGAAGCCGACGCCAATGGCGCTCTTCGATCAGTTAGTTTTGGTTCGAAGTCGCGTAGAAGGTTGATGCTTCCCATACCTCAGAGCCTTCTGTTAATTTTTACCCCGAATTTCATGGAATCGCGATCATCTCTCAAGATAGATTAGGCCCTCAAAAATATATTTTGAAAGGATAATGGAAAAAAAAACTCTTGGCTTAATTCGCTAAAAATCATATTATTTTGCCCGTTCTCTAATGGTCGCTGCGGCCGCTAAGTTGTAGCCAAGTTCAAAGATAACTCCAACGGATATTTCTTTTGTTTTTCTAGACCAGCCAAAAAAAAACACCCTCTGTATGCTTATGCACGACTTTCGTTTCAGATTCGCGCCCTGTACATCGATTCTTCCAGAAATGAGACTAGAAATAACTACACATAGCTCAATGTAATGTTTACTTTTATTGGTCGTCTTTGATGAAAGCAATTTTTTTTTAAATTTGTTTACAGGCCAGGCGCACAATGGTCAGCCGAGCAAGGTACTTTCTCCTGGCGACCTTCATCATTCTTCCGTTGGGCTTGTACATATCAACTAGGCTGGCCCAACTACCGACCCGCTCATTCTTTCCCCCATTGCCCGGGGGTAATGTATTTTTCCAATTTTCAAACGAAAGCCAACCAGCACTAAAAAACTCATCAAGCATGACAGCAACTAATCTGTGGAATCCAGTGCGAGAATTGTCCAGGGGATACGGACGCCTGCCGTTCCCAATAGAAACCACCGACGATCTGCCGAACGCTCACTCCGTCGTCTTAAATTGCAAGAGGAACTTGGACTACCTCTTCTTCGTGCATACGGCTCCTGACCATCATCTGCATCGAAAGATCCTACGAGACGCATTAGGCAAGGACAGCTTGTCCCTAGCGTACAACTGGAACATAGTGTTTTTCGTCGGCCTTTCCACCAACAAAGACACTTCGCGAGCCATCAAGACAGAGGCAGATGAGCACGGTGACATCGTTGTCCTACCCTACTACGACACATACAAGAACTTGACCTACAAGTTTGTGTACGGCATGAAATGGGTCACGGAATACTGTTCCGATGTAAAGTACGTCGTGAAGATAGACGATGACGTTGTGATAAACCTAGCACTGATGATGACGTATCTCAATGAAGTGCCGGCGTCACAAGCTCGTGTTTTGCATTGCCAAGTCTGGGAACACATGCCCGTCCTTAGAGAAACGAACTCGCCCTGGTATCTCTCGAAGGACGTTTATCCCAACAAAGAGTATCCGGAATACTGCTCGGGGAGGGGGCTGGTGTTTAGGAGTAGCCTCTTACGTCCGTTGTACAATGCCACGTTCTGCTTGCTGTTTCACGGCATAGACGATGCCTTTGTCACCGGTGACGCGGCGTTGGTTGCTAGGGTAGGCCACGTTGATATCAGTCGGTCATTTTCGCACGAGGATAAAGACTGGACCAAAGTGACCTCGGGTAGCATTATGTTTTGTCACGTTCATGACAAAACTTTACGGAGCAAGTCGTGGGATATTATTGTTAAAAATCTTACTAGTTCTTTACAAGAAACTAGCACGTCTAATTTAGCTGATAAAGCGACGGTGAGCCAGCGTTTGAAAGCGGTGGTTACGTAGTTTAATACATACAATGGAGTCGTCGTGCTCTTGCATATATATTAAAATAAAATGCCCTCCAGGAGCGTGCTCATTAAAAACGCAAGGATATGCGTTCGCGAGCTTAACTAAAGCGTGAGTACTGCAATGTTCACTTGCTGCTTTTGTGATCCCGCCAAAAGGGATATTCCTGAATTATCGAATCATTCAAAGATCATTTGAAAAAGAACAAGCTAACAGAATTCAACCAATTAACGAGTCGGAATTATTCGTGCTATGCATTCCACGGATTCGGCCACAATCCATGTTTGTGCGTCTAATCAATTATTTATTGTACAACCTGGCACTCATTCAAGTTTTGTAGTAGAAGAAATAGTACCGCGCTTCATTTAATGTTTGTTCTTAGCACAGACGTAATTGAAACCCAATATGGCGCTTTCTTTTCGCCAGAGTTTAAGTAATGCCATTTGACATGTTTAATGAAAATAACTTTTGACGCGTTGATCTAGAATTCTTTATGAACTAGAAGAAGTCACATAGCTTTAGTTAAATCGCAAGATATGCACAACCTTAATCTTATATTCACGAGCCACATTCTTAATACTCCGAAAAATACTCCAACGCCACAAAATTAAACAAAATCACACGAAATAATTTTTAATATATATATGTCATACCGTATGTGTCATTAAATATTTGCCTTGCTGCGCCCACATTCGACTGTATGAGTTTCAAAGGAAGCTTCGGAGGAATTTCTCCAGATTGCTTAGCTGTGATGATTATCGTGTAATTTATTTAATTATGTGATTATGTCTTTACTGTTTGTGCTTAAAGGTACGTAAACATTTACTGAACTTGTGAAAATAAATAGAAATGAATGTGCATCGCAACAGTTTTGGAAAAGGGAAACCTCTTTTGTAATATGTTACGTTCGTCTTGGAGTGAAATCTTACATGCCTGTTACGTAATGATTGATTTATTAAGCTTTGTGAAGAACTTTCCTAGAAATTTTATATATATTATCTGTTTTATGAGTTTCATTAACGAACTTTAAATGGAATGTTTCAGGGTTGCGAGGTTCTAAAGTGAATTCAGTTAATTGTCGTTGCGCTTTGTTGGAGTGGGAACAAACCTGAATCAAGTACCCTAACCAGCTTAATGTGATATCAACGAGACACGTAACCTGTGCATATTTATAAAAACCGATTTTTACATGTATATACAGGGTGTTTCTGAAAAAGCTTTCAAAAATCCCTAAAATATGCTGTTTGAGATTAAAAAAAAAAGAAAACTATTTCCGACAACAAATTTCCAGCCTTGGGGGTTGTCAGTGATTTCAAACAGGTACTAATTAGCAACGTAATTAAGTAAAATGTACTAAATATTTTTTTATTTATTGTAAATAAACTTAAGGTTCCACTCAGAAACTTGCTACGCAACATCGAAAACCGCAAAATCAAAAGCTTTTTTAGGAAGATGTCAGACCGGGGCAGCATTTTAAGGCGTTCTAAAAAAAACTTTGGACGCGTTTTCAGGTTCCGGTTTCTCATCGATGCCGTTGCGCCCGCGGTCCTGGTTGCCGGTGGTCGCTGCGCCAAACCTCCGCGTCGCCTCCCTCGTAGCATAAGAGGAAGTATGGCGCACGTGTGTCGCGCGTCTCGGCCACTGGGGGACAGGACCGCGGGCGCAAAGATGCGCTCCGACAAGCAACCGAAACAAAGAAAGGCGTCAAAATTTAGCAGTTATAAGACTGGAGTAGAAGACTCTGGCTGTACTCGAGGCTGCAAACGAATGCACGTGGTGAGCTGGGCCGGCGCACGACGTACGTCGATATGTGTTCACTTGACTTCGCCAATACGGCGTTTTCGTTCGCTCCCCGTGCCAGCAAAATAGCAATTTATTCGTTATTCGCTGTGTATTGTATGTGCGACAAGAGGAAGAGGGTACTTACTCCATCGCCTCTGAGTGTGAAACAATCCACGACGTCGTAAGCAATGGCGGTCCGGAGACGATAGCAGAAGACAAATACACACCCGAGCGAAACCGAGACCTAAACTACCCGCGTCGGTCGCTGCTCTTCTGCACATTGCCCTTTGCCAATGGGCGTGTAATTGTGTAGGAAACAGCAGGTATAAGCTACTTGGATGAGAAAATATGTTAGTCAGAATTAATCTGAAAATGGTTTCCTCACTTCTCAGTTTTTTGTGTGGTGCGGGTGGTGTTCTTCTACTGAGCTTTTAGTGTTCTGTACTGTCTGGGTAGATCGCGGGTAGTATGGGTTCCGGTGTCCTTTCCGTGGTCAGATGTGCACAATCTCGGGCCGTGATATGGGCGTGTGCATTGCCTTTCATGGATGACCTTCCTGTGCGGTACTTTGCCTTGTAGAATGCGTAGCGTACACGGGTGCCACCCAGCCAGACGTTAAGCTGCGGCATTCCTCTTACGAATCCGTCACTATGGTGGATGTTCGGTTTGCGTAAGGGCAAGAGCTACGGTAAGCTCTTCAATACATTTTGTCGTTGCCCGTGGGATGGAAGCGCTGCTCAGATACTCACACCCGTCCGTCAACACGGTGAACATGGCTCATATGCCGTTGTAGTTGGCTGCGTCGGTTTGCGCCATCATGGGGATTGTGTCTTATTTAAGGTTTTGGCTTCTGCTTCTATGAGGCCTTCACGATGGCTCGGGTACATGTTTTGAGGAATTGGGTCATAATTACATGTTTACGCCACAATTCCGTCATCACCCGTGGCTGAGGCTGGTCTCGCGGAACCATGTTGTGTTTGGTCAGAACTTTGCGGTCCGTTTGTGTGTGAGCGAGCCGTGCACTTTGATTTGACAAGTGGACCTTAATTAGTTCCTCCACTTTGTTATGTAGCGCTATACGAAGCAACTTCTCTGTGGGTACGTTCAAGGTAATCCTAGTGCTTGTTTCACTGTGTCCCGTATGAGCACGTCGATCTTGGCTTGTTCCAGATTTGCTCAGGGTGACGAAGGAAGCGGCGTGAGGGGACAAAGGCTTGGACTTAGCCTGACCCTGTCTCCCTCTTTAGTGCCTTTGTGTTGGATTGCCAGGAATGAAAATGACGAAAGAATGAACAGTGAATTGAAAATAATACTTTAATTGTCGTACTAAAATCCCTTGGTCCTTCTTTTACAAATAACGACAGCCAGTGCAAATGAGAATGCACATTCCGCGATAACAAAATGGCGGCATTTGGTTGAAACCTCTGCTGTGCGCCGACATTTGCTTCCTAAAACCTGCACCGCCAAGCAGTACGCGCTTTAAATTATGTTGCTATTTGTAGTAAACTCTTATCTAGGGGCTTTACGGCGTACTTGTGCCAAATAAAAATAAAGAACGAGGTTTGTGGCAGCAGAAAAGCGGGCGGCGATTTGGCGGCGTAACTGCAAGCGACAGCGAGGCTAACTCGACAATGTCCCGCGCTGTTCATTATCTAGAGTGCGTCACCATCTGGAATATTCGGCACACAAGGTTCGAGCATCGCGAGTTCAGGGCAAGGATGAGCAGGCACTTTCGAGAACGAGAAAGCAGGATAAAATGAGTAGTTATATCTTGAGTATAGAATAAACGAGAATCTTCAAGAATACCGTAAAATGGGCATTGCTTGCTCGGCCCGTCGTGCGGCAATGTACATGGCTTGCTTGGAGGTTCTTGCGAGTTATTGCACTTTGCATTTTTCCTGCCGTCCACCTGGATGAGCAGGCCCAGGATCCTAAAGGACTTGCTTGGCCTGTTGTCGTGCCATTCGAGAGTGACTTGGATGTTGTCGACATCCTTTTTGGTTCATGCGCCTTCTCAGCACGAGACACTCGGACACCTTTGGCGAGCAGGACATTCCCCAGCTTCTTGCGCATTGATTCAACATCTCGGCGGCGTGCTCAAGCGTGTTCTGCAAGCCTCCGAGAGAGCCGGTGCCCACTCAGAGGGTTACATCGCCTGCAGACAGGACATGGCTAAATTTCGGTATTCTTCCCGAATGCTCCGAGTTGTCCGAGAGCTCGATGTTGGATAACAGTGGGGAGAGGACCAAACCTTGGGAAGGCCCTTTGCAACCCAGGATGATAGGTTTTTTAGAGTCCCCGATCTTAAGTACCGCTCTGCAGTTGGAGAGAAAGTCAACTTTGCTGTGGGTCCTCTTCCCGTAATTTGTGTCGGTTAAGGTTTAGATGATCGCCTCGTGTTCCAAGTTGTCGAACGCTCCCTTCAGGTCTAGAATGAGGATTAACCTCAGGGAGTGATGCGTGGCTAGGACGAGGATTTGCTCCATGAGCTGAATGAGTACGTCCTGTGTCCCGAGATGTTTTCTTAAGCCAAACATACCATCGGGCTATAGTTGCGTTCCGCCGAAGTGATTCCGGAGTCTCTTCAGTCTTCCAGAGGGTGTTAAAGTGGATGAGTAGAATATACATGCCGCGATCGTGTAGGTTGAAGAGGCGCTTATTCGTGATTTTGCCTGGCCCCGGGTCACTGTCCCGATTGCTATCCGCAATCGCCTCCAGCCTCCACACTCTCAACAAAAGGGTTGTCGTGGGGTACTAACTCTGGGGTCGTCAGAAGCCGTCACAGATATCGCTACCCCACCTTCGTTATACTAACAACCCCACGGGTAATCACACGGCACGCAACCAACAGGTTGCCACAGTGAGCACCCCCAAAAGCAACATGGCGGCTGGCAAGCGACGGTGGAGCAGTACGAGTAAGGCCTAGCGAACTGGACTGCTTTTTGCTAAAATACGATTCTCAAGTGCGTGCGCCCGTTCGCGGCCTTCCGTGCGCACTGAAGCACTCCAAAACGCGCCTCGAACCACGGGCACCGCACGTATTACGAGTAGAGGCGGCGATGTGAAAGGAAGGGGGGGGGGACAGGCAGGCAGGCATTTGAGGGGGTGTCCGCGACTGCTTTCGCGCGGCCGGCTGCATTTACTTCGCGACCAGAAAACATTCAAGAAAGGAATCGTATAGCGACAAATGGAATGATATCCAAGGTATATGTACATGGGTAGCGAAGCTTCCATAGAAGCCCACATGTCGAAAAAATGGCGGCCCATGGAGCTGCTTTAGCGCCATCTATGAGTCGTGGGGACACTTCCGGCGGAACAAAAATCAACAGGAAATGACGACACTTCCGGAAAAAAACGTGACGTCATGCGTGCGTGCGGTTTCGCGCGAAAATTAAACAAAACTAATTCCAGAGATCGCAGGTAAATGAACGACATATACACTAAAAAGTCTCAAACATAGCTCCGTGTTTGAGCTTTGTTTGATACTTTTTAGTGTATATGTCGTTCTTTTTACCTGCAGTCTCGGGTTTTTCTTGGGGTGTTTACACCTTGTGTTTACTCTATACTGGAATACTGGATCGTTTACACCCTTATTTGCCCTTGCTCTTATATTTTGTTTGAAATGTGTTTTTTCTACAGCCGACTTTGTTAGCCGACCTGCTATGAGAGTAGTTTCATTTCGTCACACCATCGTGTCTTCGCACTGTGGTCAAACTCCAGCCGTGGTGTTTTGCTTTTTGTTCCTTCATGATCCCTGGGAAATATGTGAGAAACCTTAAAGCAAATTATGTAATGTCGCAAAAAACAGTGAATCAAATTGCTGGAGAGTGTTGGGCGTCTGAAATACACAACAGTAACTCTAATGCAAGTCCAACGTCGCTTTAACAGTCGCGTTTTATTTGCTTTATTCACTTACAACCATTCACTCAGATTACTTACTAGAATTATACAATCGGTATCAACTATTTTCAAAAGGTCATGGTCGAAGAAATTTAGTAGATCGGTACATAATGCACACTGTTATAACATAAGACATTGTACAATCGGCTGGATGTTGTGAGGACATTGACAGTTGATAGGCAGCCACTAATGACTCGGAGGTTCCACAGTGTTCCGACGACAACTGAGGCCACCACTGTAATACACATAAAAGCTACACTTTTCTACACATTCCTTGGGCAAGGTACCATAATGCTGAAAATACCTTAACTTGCATCTGCTGGTGCTGCTACACTGCAACGCAGCGATTGTTTGGTGCAGGTCAAGGAAGCCAAGTGGAGTAAACCCTCTTGGAGCCCTGTGGTATGCTGCACTTCATAAGCCAGTTTTGCTTCACAGCTTTAAACTCTATATATGTGAATAAGTTAGAAGACTACATTACTCCTCAAGAAACCGAAGAAAATGAAAGGCTCGAATAGAACATGCCTGCACTGCTTTAAAAAGTACTCTGGGTGGTCTCACATACGTAGTCTGCGCTGTTGCTGCCTAGCTTTACACTTTGCTACTGTATCAAATGGTCAGCAATTTTTTCCCGCGCGAACCAGTGCAGAATGACTCTGGCAATCAGAGAAAACAAATTATCATAAACGCTTTCGTCACATACAGTCAGACTTTGAAATCTTCTGGTTAAAAAGGACACAAAGAGTCCGCCCTACGTTCTCCTTTGAAATTAGGTTGTTGATACATGTCTCCAAGACTTCCTCACAAGCTTCAACAAATAATCTGAAAGAAGCAAAAGGAACTGAGAGGATTCCAAAGTGGGAGTCGGCAGTTCCTTTCACACTCAAATACAAGAGCACTTGATTTTCCTCAGAAAAACACGCATTTTCTGTCCTCAGCTAATATTTCTGGGATGTTCCTACACAGGTATGAACCTTGAGGAATTTTGATGCCAGCCACCCAGCAAAATAAACCAAGTTGTTCTCTTCTATTGCCAAAGGGTAGTTTGAAGGCGAATCGTCTGCCGTGGTCAGAAAAACTGTGCTTCCTAAGGCAAGACGAGGAGAAGGTGCCAAAAGGCCTGCTGGGAACGTAGCAAGGAGAGATATGTCATCAGCTCAGTTTGATTTTTCCGACAGCTTGAATAGGTTGCTAATCAAAAGGTGCCTGAACGCAGCCTGAAATTGACGGAAAGTGGAGTTCGTGTTTGCACCTGATTTTGAACGTATAACAGCAAAAAGTGTTTTCAAGGGCGTCCTGGTTCAGATGGCGGTTTAAAAGGTGGGAAAAACCGCAATTAACCGCGAGGTGATTGCTGGGCAGCAGTAGAGACCTAACTGTTAAGCAGAAGCCACGAATGCAGTGCGGCTGCCTTCCACATCCGAGTACTTGCAGGCTCTTAAAAACCAGAATGCACTCTTGCAGAAACTCCTCATGGATAGAGCCGTTACAGATTGCAGAGGCATATGGCATCTGCAGATTTCTGCGAGCTATTTAGGCTGTCAAAGAGACGGTCGATTCTTTCAACGAATCTCGCTGTGTGAACAGCTGTGGCTGGCAATCGCTAAGAAGTAACAAGGGCATACATTGCAGCTGCGCAGTGATTGCTAAACACTTGAGCTGCTAGCTTCACCGACATCTTTGACGAGAAGGTCAAATTAAAATGCTTCTCCTTCAGCTTTGGCATAGAACCGATCTCAAGTTTACGGTCCTTTTCATAAGCTTCCTTGATGTAGGAACTTTTCACTATATAATCACCAACCTTTTAGTCGTTTTTAAATAACATGTTTCTTAGTCACTTCAAAAGGTGCGGAGCATCGAAAAGTAAAAAAAAAAAGTGGCTCGCCATTGATCTCTACGTAAGGCTTTTCGGCAGTTACGATGATTGAAAAAGAGACAGGTTCTGGCACCGTTTATCGCATACAACAGCTACCGGCTTCAGGCCAGCGTCCACAAGGGCGCTGTAGCACTGGAAAAAGAGATCTTTTAGTGCATCTGAAGGTGTGCCTTTGTGAGCAAAAAATAGCCAAGCGGCTGCTTCCACGGTGTTCCGACTTGTCATTATTTTATTTCCTTGTCGCATCTTATCTTAGTTTTGTGGACGTCATTTTGTGACTCTTATGTACACGGCGGCAGGCAAGCAGGCGCACAGGCGTAAGGGTTTTAACCTCTCTGCTTCGCCTTGCACGCTGCCGTGTACGTGCCTGATCTGTGCAAAATAAATCAAATCAAAATCAAATGAACGTGAGAGCCTTATTTGCCAGTTTTTTGCATTGCTGTCCACTATGTTCTTTAAGTCTTTTAAACCTGTCAGACGAGGGGTTGTATGAAATCTCTTTTTTGATGTGCATTTCATCAAAGACTATGCTACAGGCCCGATCGGCT